GCGTTCGCCGAAAGAATCCAGTAATTGGAAGCTATGTACATATGGCTCTACAGCTGTACCAGGTTGACTATAAGTCACATTTGCTGGATTTCAAGATTATATGTAATGAGCCTGCAGATTTGGTGGCACAGGAAAAGAGGAGTAAGTCATTTAATACTTTGTTATATAGTTTATAAAGTTTGCATATTGAATTTAAGCTTGATATTTATAGTCAACATAGTAAAATATTTTAGAAATCAGTATTGAACTGAAAGATGTTTATTTTCACTGTATTGTAACATGTCTTTACAGTTTCATTTTAGAATACATAAATCATCTAAAGGGAGAAGAAAAAAAACTATGCACCAAATAAATAATAATATGATTTATTAAAGACTATTATACATTCTTCACCAAAAACATTATGAACTTAATATGCATTTATCACACTTCCAAAGATTGGCTATTGGTACTTTTCCTGCAGCCACACTCATTTTATCTGAAATACAAAATAAAGGTACCTTACTAATTGATTCAGAAACATAAATAAGAACTGTTGATCTGTTTTTGCCAGATAATCAAGATGAAGTCCAGACGCAGGGACATCACGTCATGGAATTCTTTGAAATGTGTGCAGCTCTAATCACCGAACTAGCTCGTTAAGAGCTGCACTTCCTATCAATAGTCCTGATGTGCCTAAAACATTTATGATTTGGATCTCTTACTTGTAACATCAGTGCAATGTTGCGAAATCCATTTAGATATCTAGACAGGAATGGTATGTACATATATATACACATATCTCTCAATATTCCTTTTTTATGCAATTATAAGTATACACTTTACTTATAAAGTTATATGTAAAGATTGTCACCATTTGTTTTTTCTACATCTATAATGCTGTTTAGCTACTTGCTTTATTCTGTTTTTAAGGTATTGCAGTTCTTTAGCTGTATTTTTCTCTTAGTTTTCAAGTATTCAGAGCTTAATAATTACAATTAAAAGATAAACTAGATTGATTATAACTAAACCATATGATTATGTTTATGTCCAAAGGGAAGATTAAAATTTTGGTTCAGTAATTAGGTTAACAAGTATATAAAATAAGACATTTTGGTACACAAAAATAAATGCTTGTGATCCTTTGTTCTGTACTAATACAAGTAGTTATAAGATAACATAAATCATGCACTGCAGTTTTTGCTTGTAGAGATTTATAACTATTAGTTATTTCAATTTGTATTTCTTTTTGTATCTTTTCATGCCAATTGTCAATTTATATTTTATCACTAAAAATGTTTATCAAGATATGTTTCTGGTAGATGCATTGCAGATCATATTTATATAATGTAAATATTATAAAATTCTGTATTTATATTATATGCTTTACGTACTTCTAAATTGTATAATCAAATTTTTATCTCTATATTTTTTTTTAATAAGTACTATATGAATAATTTTAAATATATACACCATGATTAAATTCAGTTTAAATAAAGTACCAAAAGGATAGGCTTATTACATATAATGATGTGTCATATACTAATAAGTATAACAGATATGTAACTTGAGCATATCAACAATCTTTTTAAAATTAAGGCATAAGTCCTCTTTTCAAAGGGATGTGGTGTATCACAACTTTCTGATTATGTAAATAAAATGTGGTACAGTATTGTACATAAAAGCGCACTGTTACTGTATCTTGTTTCCCATTTTATTTACTATATCAAGTGACAAAACAAAAAATAAAATAAAATTCAGAGAATGTCAATTAATTAATAGATTGTCTAGTTGTCTCTGAAAAAAATATTGCCCTTTGTATTAGAAAAAAGTTGAGTTACAACAATAAAGTTGCACAACTCACAGATGTTGGGATACTCTAGCCTGAATTAATACCATATATCAAAACTGACATGAACTCTGTAGTGCTTAGGATACTGATACAGTCAAGGACACCCTGCTGGTGTTTTCCTCACCTGGTAACGGTGTTATGCGACTGCAAAAAACTTTACTTCTGTGCTGCAGGTGGAAGCCAGGATGAGATATTCATGACAAATAATTACTAATGTGAAAATCGGGACAAGGGTCTGACTAATATCATTCAGTACAAACACAGTAACTGTCTCAATGAGCAAAATATAACATATATGGAATAACAGTTGTCTTGCAACTTCTAGACACTCATCTTCAATGCGTGTAAATTATGTATTTTGTAAAGTTACCAGTTATCTTGTAATGATTCATCATTATTCAATTATTATGTTAGTGCAGAATTTCAGTGTGCTAATTGAACTTTCCACAACTTTGACAACATTCACATCAAGTCATGGTCAGCATAACTTTGCAGGTGATCATAGGATAGTTGTCCCTGAAACACTTCTTTCACTTATTGGCATTCTAACCTTTATCCATACCCAAGAACCTCAGCAGTTAATTACCAATTTCTTGCTATCAATCTTTCTCTCTCTCTCTCTCTCTTTTTTTTATTATTATTATTATTACTATTACTACTACTACTAGTAGTAATAGTAATAATATATTATAGATATTATTAGTTGTGGAGGTACTGCCATTACAACTATAAATATTATTATAAATTTTATGAGGATAACAATAATACATATGATGATGGTGTGTGTGCGTGTGTGCGTGCGTGCGTGCGTGTATGTATGTGTGTGTGTGTTTTTGGGGGGATGCACTAAGTCTCCTCTTTTATGCAGTTTGTGTTTGTATTATACTATGTAGGTCAGATTATTGTCAGATTAAATACTTGTTGTTCAAGACTCCTTTAATGCAATAATTATGTGCTGGACTTCCACCTTCCCCACAGCAGTAGCAGTTTTTGGTAACCTCACATAACAATGTTACCAGGTGTTTAGAATATCTGCAAGGGTCTAAACTGCTAACCTTTCACTTGTCCACCTCACATGATGCCTCCTGTGGCAGTCCAATAAACTAGTCTGGCAGACTCGGGGAAATCCAAGTGTCTAATTGTTATTCTGTTTGGATTAAGAGTTATGGACCATCAGTTGCCAGAGAATTATTAAAGTCATGCACTGCCTAATGTCTATTGTATGATGTCACTACAGTGCTAAAAAGTGTGCATACTATATTCAATACTAATCTGGAATACAGTGTATTTGACTCAGAAAGTTCCTATATCCACTATGTTCTAGTGATGCTATAAGCACTTCCCTATTTATACAATATTACATACTACAGTATGGCTGGTCCTATTGGCCTGTTAAGCCATATATACCCAGGATATCACTGCAATACTGCCATATCTTTATAGAAAGTAACACAAGGGATATAGGAACTTATTGAGGAAACTGTATTTATTATGACAAAATAGCAGTTATGCTATATCAATGAGCCAAGATACATTTCTTAGTAATGTTTTTGTTGTTGTTTTTTAATGAAAGATGCACTGCAACATAAGAAATACATGCTGGATGCTATAGATGTATATGTCACCAGCCACAGTGTGAATGGATGTTATCAAATCATGATTATACCATGTTTAAAATAATAGGAAACTAAAATTCATATCTTCATAACCTCAAAGTATAAGAATATGCAAATATGCCATCAATGTACTTGTACTTACGGCAAAATGACACTATCATCTGGCATCCTCTCCATTCTTCTCAAGAATACCTGATGTGACCTCAAGAATTTTCTGCATATCAAGTGCCTCTCCTGGAGGAATTCCATACCCTTTATTCAGTCCTTCAGGATTTGAAGGTGTAACACAGTCTAGATGAGGCTCTTTTCGAAGAACATAATCAATGTCTACTGCACTGAAGAATGCTACTGACTGAGGCAAATCTTTGAAACCTAATCTGAAAAAATATGCACAATTATTTCAAAAGGAGCAAATATTTGTGAGATATTAATTTTAATGTTAGTTTTTAAAATGCAATAAAAGTACTGAAAAGGCATAACTTACATGTGGTTCCATAATAGCAAAATAGCAACCAAGTAAGCAAGCGCTGGATCAAGGCATAGTTGGTGGGCTCCAGAGGTAAGTAAAAAGTTACACTATTTCAATTTGAATACTGAATACAAGTTCAAGTACTTTATATTATCTATTTTAAAAAGTTCAGATACTATTTTGTTTACAAATTTTAGTAAACATACTACAGCAAAAAAGTAAATATCAATGGGGCCTGATAGTACCAGTAGCCTAAGGGTTTACAAAATCTTAACCCAGCTCTGTTGCACTTACTCTACCTTTGCCTTTGTCTCTGTAATTCTTACTCTTTTGTTCTCACATTCTCTTTTATTTTCACACCACTTAATGTACTAACTTTTGAGCGAAGAGTGAACGTGTCAGTAAGTTGGTGATTTGCAGAGCCAGAGCAGCTCGATGGGAGTCTTCTGTTGCTACCAGGTATCTCACCTATAATAGGTGTGTATGTCTTAATAATTAGTTAAAAAATCCTACAAAAAGTAAGGACCCTTCCATTTAAATATTTCACCTCATTAACCCATTGCCACTGGGGAAAATGAACAAAAAATTGGGAAAATGCTGTGCCTATTTTCTACACTTTTTTGTTAAATGTCTGCCCATAGATGGCTCTGTTAGCGCCTGATTTGAAATGGCGGGAAAAATGTATTTTTCACTAGTGCCATGAATATCGTTGGTGTTATTTTTATTATAAACATTATAATTTTTATAATGTTTTTTAACATTAGTAACAGCAAAATAAGATAACGTAAAATATTTCATAAATCAAAGAAATGGGTAAACGGGCGAGACGGGCGGTACTCGTAGTTGGCTCATTGGTGATTTAGTACAAGTGTTGCCATCTATGTGTAAAAACAATCCAACAAGTAATCTCACAGTGGACATGGCATGGCATGCCCGGTGGGAATGGGTTAACAGGCCTTCCGAATCTCGTTTTAAATTTTCCACACAATTTGAACTGACAGGAAAGTAAGAGCCCTGTTTTTATGAGAATATTATTGGGTGAAAGTAAGAAGGAGTACTTAATGCTGTATCAACAATTTCACAAAGGAAAGAATATCACAAAGTAAAGTTACAACAATGGAGAACTTTTAGAGAACAACAACAACAATAATAATGATAATAATAATGATAATAATAATAATAATAATAATGAGAAAGAATATCTGAAGGAATGCTTAATTTGACTTGCTAGGAAATATTCAATTTTATACGTTTACAAAAAATCAGAATTTCAGCATGAAAAAACACACACACACACACACACACACACACACACACACACACACACACACATATATATATAATAAAAGAGAATTACAGGTAATTCTAATATTTCTTAAATCAAGTGGTAGTGATTAATCCTACCTCATCATGGATGCTAATACAAAATCTTCCTCTAATGTTGTACTCCTGGAATAACCATCTCATTGACACAAGCATGATGTGAAGATAATCAACAGCTGGGAAAGAAAGTTTTGGAATAGCAAATGTAACAAGCTGAAATAATCTTCATTTTTTAAAATGTTGAATGCAATTTCGGAATGGACCATTACAATCTATCTTTCATAGGCAAGATTGATTTTAAAGAAATGTCAAATTATAAAAGTTCTAAACTTGTCATTTTAAAAATAATTTACAAACAATAAAGTTCCTATTAATATAATATAATAATGATAACAATAATTAATGTAAACACCTGAAGACAATCTAGTACTTTGGACACTGATACAGTAGAGTTATACAATTCTTATAGAAAACTAATCACACATTAAACAAAACAACTTACCTGAGCTCTGGACAACCCAGTTCACTCTGCTAGTCATGTACTGATCGTCCACATACTTTGCTTCAAGAGCACGAGTTACTCTTGCCCCTAGTACTGGTGTCCGTGGCTCCTCAGACCTGGCTATTGCTTCTAAACAGTTGAACATATATGACTCAGAGCCACCTACCCATACAGCAGGGCCATCCACTACATCATAAAAGGATGCCTCTATGTTGTTATATCTGGCCTGCCTCAACAACTTATTTATCTGGGGAAAAGAGAATTATGATCATATAAGGTTAATGGCTTCAACACTGTACCATAGTGACTAAAAAGTAAAATTTAGTAGCTCTCACTTATACAATTTATAAGTCATATCTTGGCAGAGGCACTGTGATCATAAAATAGTTGTTTGAAAATTTTAAATGCAATTGAAAAAGGAAGTTGGAAAAGAGTTGGTTGTTAAGAGGAAGGAGGGTGAGGGTGGCTAAGAGTTGGTGTTTAGTATGTGTTCTGGGGTGTGCAGTGTGAGTTGATGTTGTGGGAGTCTTTTTCAGTCATGAATGGTACTAGGAAAGTATTTAAAGGAATCTGTACTAGTTTGGTATGTCATATTTCTAGTTGTGAGAGTTATGCTTATTAGTTGTCTTCGCATGGAGTAACTAATCATGTTTATTTACCTCTATTTGATTGTTTGTGGGTTTAAAAATAATTTTTAATACCATTTTATCTACATATTGTGTGGGTGTCCATATTTAGTTATTATTTGATATGTTGTGAAGCCAAAAGTTTTGGCCCAATTGCTTTTCTAGGTTATTTTTATTTGTTTACTTGTGTGGGTCCAACACTGCTGCACAATACTCCAGTGCTGGACAAACATGTGTTGTGTGCAACCATGTAGTTTCCTCCACACAAAACCCAGTGTTCTGTTTGCTATGTGTCGTATGT